TATATCTATATCTTCTATTCCAAAATCATGACTGGTTTATATGAACCATCTCTGTCCACAGTGCTTTACAAGGGCTTCCCTATGCAGATATCCATGCAGCAAGCAGCCATGCTAGTGCATTAACACACACACATTCAAAAGATTGAATGATCAGGGAAAACAAAGGCTAGGTAAAAAGGCACTTGCCTTAAAGTCTTAAGACATTAAAATCACTTGCAGCCAGTCATAAAGTAATGGACTATTTACTCTCAAAGGAGAGCAACACATTACTCAGTACTAACAGCATTGCAAAAATGAGAAAAGTGGCAATACAGGAAACTTGAGAATATGCTGATCAGTACTTACAGAGAGATAATGCATGTTTTTAATTACACTGGATCATCTACTGTAGCCAAGCACAAGCTGGATCTGTCCCTCTCAGAGTGTAAAAGGTAAAAATTCATAAGCCTACAGAAGCCTCACAGAATTGTTTGTTCACTATCATTAGGGTTTATTCTGCCTTAAACCTCCTCTTCACCATCCCGTGACAAGTTTGCATTGTACAGACTCTTGAAAGCCAAGAGAACAACTGGCTGCAATGTGAAAAAACCATGTCAGTAACCTACTGTCTCAGGAGAATTTTGGAAAAAAAAACACACAGCATCTTGCCGTAGGCTGTAAATACCTTTCAAACATGCTCAGGGAGTTACAGTCTCACCCAGAAACCATATATTCACAAGGTGTCACATGGAATAATTTAAACTCATTGAGTATGTAAGTTTGTGTTATTCATAAGATTTTACTGTTTGATCTGCGCCGATCCAGACCTATTTGATGGCCATGTGTGACCGATCCACATCCTATACTTACTTATTTAGTTTTTGGCAATCGCACGACAGCTCTTTCCTATTTTATACGTGTTTTTTTGCGGCATTCAAATCGAATGCTAACGCTGCCCCTCAGTCTTTTTTGCTACTCAGTGGGTGTGAGTACAGTGACTTCCGCCTGCTATGACGTCATGCGCATACCCTTCGCAGTATGAGGAGCATTATATAAGACGTGACGATCTGGGAGTATTTTACACTTTTAACAGAAACCAGTAGCACAGCGATTTGCAATCTATGTAAAATTTAGTTTTGAGGTAGAAATATAGCGTTTAATGGACAATCCCATTTAACAAAGCGCACGCAACTGCGAGACAAAACAAAGCAATGGATGATTTGGGAGTCACTAACTTAATTGGACTGTTTTGCGAACTCGCTGCAGCTTGTGATACAAGAGGGGCTGCCATCGCAACAAAAGTGTAACTGCGCTGACGCCAATGGGAGAAAAACTTAAAATTTTAAGCATTCGCCACTTGTGTATACTTGCTTTGAAGATATTCACATTGAACTGTAAATGCCTCAAAAACGCTTAAAACAAATGAGGTGGAACAGTACGTTATGTATGTTTGTAGTAGCCTAATTAAATTTTTTTTGTCATGCATTTTTTCCATCTGTATTTACTAGCTTAAAAAAATGTACATATAAAGTATAACAAAGTAAAAAAAAAAGCTCTTGTATCGGAATTGGTATCGGTATCGGCAGTTGTGTATCGGAATCGGATCGGAACTGAAAAAATGTGGATCGCCCAACTCTACACTAAATAGACTAAAAGGGCCTTTTAAATGTATCTGGATGGTGATACCTATACGCCTACCTATTTTACATTATGCTTGTTTTAACACACAAATTCTACATGGTGTACTCTAAATACTATTCCTAGTAACTGCTACCCAACTGTAGTACTACAAGCAATGCTACAAGATAAATATTGGCATGACAATTTCAATACGAAGTTACTCCTATCAAAAGCAAACAGGTGCTCAGTGTTCATGGGTAAGACAGAAAGCGAGAACACTGTGGTCATGGCAAAAACCGAAAGAATGATGCACTACTTTCAGTGTTTGTGTATCACAGAGCAATTTTATATTATTTTATATATATAGATGAATGCCTATGTCATGTAAAGAATATTTATCTACCCCTCTGGTAAATGAAACCTACAGTAGACATTTCTTTTGTACATGGTTTTGTCATGGTATGAAGGAAAATTGAAACTGCAGAGCTAAGAATAAAGATTTCTAAAAACAAACAAAAAAAATTATCTAAAACACCAAACACTCTGATTAGAGAAGCCATCGAAGGAAAAACATGTACTTCACATAGGACATGATAACAAAAGTGAAAGACTTTCAGAGGTCATTTTAGAGAAGAGAAAAAATACTGACAATCTTACTGAATGTGCTGGTGACATGGCCCCTCAATGTGCCACAAAGCTCATGGCTATACTTTATAAGCTTGAAAGTAAGAGCAAAGCCTGATAAAGGGCATTTGCACAAATGTAATTTACTACAACAATATTAAATACAGGTAATATATTCTATGGGAAATGTAATACCATGTTCGATATCTAATGCACACCAGCATCTAAGCGTACATGCTGAATACGATAAGTTGTTTCAGTGGTCTCATGAATGTTTTGTGAAAATGCTGTGTAAATTGTTTCTCCAATTATGGTTTTCTCCAGTTTTCCTAAAATATATTTAGAAAGTGGTGTCCATGCATATAAAATACACTTTTACATGGCAGAAAGCTTAGATATAACATAGCCCATAGAGAGAATAACTCAAGGATTCTGCTTCAGCATGACTACCAGTTACCGCTTGACATTTGTCTTTGCTCTCTATCTGCATCTTTGATGCACTGGAAATCCCCACCCACCAGCTACCGTTGAGGTGACTGTGGTGGCAGCATTAACGTCAATCAGAACCTACTGAAAATGCACTGGGTGAAAGCATTACACCACACGACACTTTTGACCCCACTGCCTAGACATTGAAATCCAATGATGGGACTGACTATCTTATCATCTGAATCTTGCAGCTATAGGTGGTGTACATTACATGTTAAATTACAATCATCAGTATAAAGACAATGATGGGGACCAAAAAAGAAGAAAAAAAACTGCTGTCACCGTACTATACCTCTGCCAGCTCGCATGTCCTTTTTTGGGGCGATTTACTTTTTTTTTGCTGATCTGAAATTTGTGCTCGAAGCAGAAATTATGGCGCAAGACTTCCTAACACAATGTAACGGATTGTGATTTTGATTGCTTACGAATCATCTTTGAAACCATTTTTTTCTTGCATGATTGCAGGTTTGAGACTTAAGTTTTACATCTGGAAATGTCTGCCGGTCTATCTAGCAGAAAACGAACCAGGGCATCTAGTAAATGTAATAAGATGAAATATATGCAACCTTGTGACAATTATCCGTCAACATTATGACAGCAGAAGATTAAAAAGAAAAGGTGATCCGATTCAGGCTAAAAGTACCAAGCAAGCAGTTCAAACCAGACCGTTAACAGTAATCATTTTCCACTTGTGGAACCAGTTTTTCCTTATAAATTCTGCGTGACTGTACACAACAAACGTTACTTATATTTTTCATTCTTGAAACGTCTACAAAGTCTGCAATATTCGCATTTTCCCAGATATATTTTAGTGGGCGTGTTAACTGCTTCACAAATTCAACTGTACACACCTCGTTAGAAAGCATTTACTGCTGGCCGTCTACAAGCACTTAATAATACATAAACTCCAGTCATATCCATGAAATATTTAAGCGTACTTGCTGCAGCCAAAGCTAAAATTTATCGCTTTTACTGCTAATTCTGACGATCCACATGGCCCTCGTTGACGACGCTGAAGTTGGCTCCTTATTCGCAGCTCCTTATTCGGATTTTCCGGTCCACCTTAAATGCTTCGCAGCCCAATGCAATGACGCTATTGCGCCTGTAGGGGGGCATTTTTAATACAGTACCTTAAAGCATTAAATCAATCTGGGCCAGGACAATGTCACTTTTTCTGTATAGTAGGATACCTGATGTGTACTGAGAAGTTGATATTTGCCTGGCCCAGAGAGGTTTAAGGCATTAAAATGGGCATGGAAAACAGGCTTCCCATTAACGCCATTGTCCACTATAGTATGATATGCCTTGTTTCCATCTGATTTTTAAAGCATTAAATCAATCTGGGCCAGGACAATGTGACGTTTTCGGTATAGTAGGATACCTGATGTGTACTTAGAAGTTGATATTTGCCTGGCCCAGAGAGATTTAAGGCATTAAAATGGGCATGGAAACCAGGCTTCCCATTAACACCATTGTCCACTATAGTATATGACATGCCTTGTTTCCATCTGATTTTTAAAGCATTAAATCAATCTGGGCCAGGACAATGTCACTTTCTGTATAGTAGGATACCTGATGTGTACTGAGAAGTTGATATTTGCCTGGCCCAGAGAGGTTTAAGGTATTAAAATTGCCCCCCTACAGGCGCAATAGCGTCATTGCATTGGGCTGCGAAGCATTTAAGGTGGACCGGAAAATCCGAATAAGGAGCTGCGAATAAGGAGCCAACTTCATCGTCGTCCCTCGTTGGCCGTAATAAGTTTAGACACGGAGGGCTCCTGCTGGCTTCGCGGCCAGCTACAGTAACGTGGTAGCCGCCGCTACAGTACATCCACGCACACGTTCGACTATTTAACAATCATTAAACTATTACGTTATCGGGTCACCTACATAGTTAATAAAGTTTACTTAACGGGGCAAATATTTCCCCCATTCCAGTACTAGCTAAACATCTGCTAGCATACTATCTAGAGAACTTAACTGAAAAATGAATTCGGTTTTACGTAACGTTTTGAGTACGTGGATATACAATAGAGTTATATGGGTTTTCTGAGGGGAAAAAAAATCACTTCACTTAGAGATTTAAACCTTACTCTGTGAGACGAACCACGCAGAGCTACCAGATAGCATGGGCGTTTCTTACTCGGGATAAGCGGGGGATGCTGCTGAAGGCAGCCACGCAACTTTCTATCCCTTTCCGTTTGAAAGGCTTTATTAGCTCAAAATAAGGAGCCGCTCGCAAGCATGGGGGCCGAAGCGGCTCGTTTCTGTCGTTCCTGCTCACCTACCTTTGATTACATTGCTGTATATCGTAGCCCGGAACTCCTCTTTGGCCCGCTGATCGAAGTCCTCCCCGTGTATAATGCGCATTTGTTTGAGGAAAGTGGACTTGCCGCTCTCCCCGGCGCCCAGCAGCAGGATCTTAACGAGCCGCTTCACGTACGTTTTATCCCGTTTTAGGCACTTGTCGATCTCCTTAGATTTCCTCAGTTGTTCTGCCTCGTTACTGCTGAGGAGGCAGTTCGGGAAACATACATTTAGAAAGGACTGGGACGGCAGGAAATCCGCCATCTTTGTAGCAACTTCATCGAGACAGAAGGGAGCGATTCAGCGCGCTCCCGCAACGAAGCGATGGGCGGGGAGAGCACTGGGGGTGGGGCTGGAAGGCGCGAGCACTACGTCGGGGACGTGCGACGCGCCGTATTTTTTTGCTGTAGTCGGAGCATACGAATCCTAGTACGTACATACAACGAGATAAAATCAAAACGAATGTAACTAAACCATTAAAATTATATTAAGAAGTATAATAGGCCTATAGGTACTCGAGCAGATTTGGTAAACATCTATAATCAAAATTCGAAATGTATAATTGCGTGTGTAACAACACTATAGTTGCACATTAATACATTCTATTAGTCTGTTGTCTTCAGTATTAATGGTATAAATATATATGGTGGAATCTGGACGCGTTCGTAGATTTTTTTTCCCCTTGGTTTGATAGGGAATCACTGTTATATGTGGGAAAACAGACACATGGATTGTGTTTCCTAAGACTCATTAGTAAATCTGCAGAAAAACAATTTGACACAGAATTATGTCCCAAAAGTACACTATCCATATACGTTCAAAGAGACTGAGCTGGATGAAAACACTGAACTCAAGACACACCCTGCTTACTTGTTTTTAATGGTTAAAAAACTTTAGGGAGCAACAGTACATGCCATTCATAAAGGATTACAGAATTGTCTTTACTTTAGTTCTAAGTTGCTTTAATTGTTTATATAATATTTTATTATTTTGAATAATAAGCCACAACACCATTTTCAGATACTAATCAGGCTTGCAACTAAAATGTGTCCCCTATCATTTGTTAAAGACCAGGCTTGAGATGTCTCCATTTACCCAATAAGAAAACTGCCAGTAAGAGATTGTGTATGATTTGTCATCTAATGCATCAGCTGTGAGACTGACATCTTAAGGAATCATTAAAAGATTCAGCTCATTCACTTCTCTGTTACCTGGACATTTGGCAGACAAATAATCCAGGATAAAACATATTGAACCATCAGCTTACAGAGTTTCGTTCTTTATTTAAAATCGTTTAATCCACTCTATTCAACTTTCCACTGTCTATGATTAAATTTCATGTAGAGTTTAATGAACATTGCCAGATGTCTGTTTGTTTCATTGCATACATTTTCCTTTGTGTACAGACAACTACTGTGCTATACAAATAAATAAACACGATTACATCCTTTACATGTGTGTTCATTTTTCTTGCATCCATGATGAAGATTATTAGCCAGTAGCATTTTATGTTACATTAGTTTGAACACATTGAAACTGATGCTGAAACAGTATTTAAGCAGAAACAGGATATGTGTCCCAGCAAAGTTCTAGTGCCAGCTCACAATGGTCTTTTTGAAAGTTAAATAGAGATCTATTCATAGAGAACAATTAGCTACTAAGCTAAGTCCGTGCCTGTTTGTAATTGATACAATGCGGCTCCTTTGCAAAATGAGGAACTTATCTGTGTGACGTCGAAGAGGCTTGCTTCACAGGCGTGCGTGCAGCACTTTAAAAACATGGAGAATTCTTCCACCGGCCAGTTTTGTTGTCAAGTATCATTACATAGATAAATAACTCTCAGCACCACAGTTCCTTACCATACAAATAAGCAAGCAAGCAGATAACCAAGTAAACAAACAAACAAACAAACAAACGAATGAATTAATTAATAAAGAGAAAATGAACCGTATAGTGTAGGTAGTACAATTAGGACGGTGTTTTGCCCATATCAGTGGAGAAAATACCTTCATATTCAATCGTATTCAAGTTCCGTAATAAAAAATATTCTGTTTATATGATAAAAAATGAAGACACTCATTGGTTTAATTATTTTAATTTTGCTTGTAGAGTTTTTAAAAAAACTGACCTGGTTGTTTTTTTTTATCTCAAGACAAAAGAAGAATAACTAGGCCTACGTCAAATATTTTTTTATTGATTTTGCCCGAGTTATAGTTATAATACAACTGAAAGATTGATATTTTCATGTATCATGCATTGAGGCAATCACGGGTGAGTTTTGTGAGAATTTTTTTGTTTAGTTTTTAGTTGATATACATTACAAAGAAGACTGGGTTGTTGAAGTTTCATGCCATTAATGAAAGTCAGAATTAATCATTAGGACTAGGACTTCAGGGTGCAATCTGGCCCTTTAAAAGCACAGCGTTAACATCTTGTTTTTATTCCCGGTTCTACATCGCCTCCTATCGAGCAAAGTGCGGTGCTGTTTTTCACTGCGGTTTTTTCAGAATGTGAGAGGTTGCATTGGCTGAATAGGACTAAGTCATGATTGGCTGAGATGTCCATACTGTCTTCATACCTCAAGCTTCCGCATATAATTTCAAGTGTTATGTTAGGATAAGGGGCGTGCGACATAAACTGGCATCGTCGTCAAGACCTCCTGCAAAATCATTTTCAGTGTTTTGAAATCCGCTTTTTATTAAAGGGACTCCTACATAACAGGCGGCAAGCATGACGATTAGAAACGTACGAGATCACGGTCAACGTTATCGACCACGGATGGCTTGTCTAAAAAAGGTAGGTCACTAAAAAGATGCTCATGTTTTTGTACAATTTCCCACATATAACGTGAATTTTAAGCATCCTGCCCCATGGTCGTAGTCGTCTTTCTTATGGCGCTTGTTTTTCGGCTTAATTTTGTGTTCATTTCTATGTTATTTCAGTAACATGTTACATACAATTACTGCAAAACTGAAATATTCCATGCCCGAGTAAACGTTTTGCTTAATTGTTTTATATAGTCTCCCGTACACTAGAATCGATCACTTTAAGTTATTATTTACATTTAAATCAGAAGATAACTAAAATGCAATTTCACTTGTGCAGGTGGTTACAGCATCAGGGAAATATGATTTACCATACAGTACAAATTAGGATATCGAAAAACAAATAAGCAAATAATATTTAACCCATGCAATGTTACGTAGAACATGTGTAATGAAATACATTACGATGCTTTAATTAATAATCTGACCAGTTTTTTATCTAGTGTCACTTACTGAGAAAAAAATTTGGGTAAAAAGATTTAATGGGAAAAATCATCTCTTTTGGCATTGAACAAATATCAATATAAATTACATTAAAACGGGACTTTTTAATAATAATAAATCATAATTTCCAGAAAAAACAACAACACTACTGATTGTCATTAATGTGAAGCGATTTCATAGTATGGAAACACATTTTTGCTTCCTTTAGTCAAATTTTCCTATGGTGATTGAGCAGTTATTAATTAAAGCCAACACGGAGGAAACTTTTTGAGATGTACGTTTTGCTTATCAGTAATTCTGCAATCTGTCTTCAAAGCCACTTTGCAGTGGCCTGGCATGAGCCCCACTTCAGAGAGACTCCGGGGGAATTGTAAATCAATCGTTTGCACATTTCAAAGAGGGTAGAATTCACGTTGTGGACCATAAAGTAATAGGCAAAAAGGAAACGCTGATGTTCCTGTTTGATTTGGTTGAGTGCCCACTTCTGTAACTGTGGGGCATGGTGGTATGCTTCAGTGATGCACAGGGATGTCGTATTTGTCTTCAGTGAAATGGAAGGTGATAGTCAGAGCTAATATTCATTATGGAATGCAAAATTTGGCTTTATCCGGGTGACCTGGCAATAGAGCCATAGTTCGAATACAAGACCCTAAATAAATCTTAGCAGTGACTAGAAGACAGGTTAACCTGATCGCCACTGTTAGTACCTGGGAGGGGGTTTTAATGTCCCATCTGTAATTATATAGCAAAGGCTCCGGCATCATAGACACATACAATAGTTATACATTTTCTCCATTCCTCCATTCTAAAGATGACAGGCTTCTAACACATTATTCCCAATCCACATGTAGTGCTATTTTTCATTCAACATATTTGTATGTAAACAAGATTAAATGTGAGCTTTGATTATGTCTTATCATAAGATTGGGGTGTATTTCTGGCTGGAGTATTGAATCCGGGATTCTGTAGGACTGGGCTATTCAACACAGTCCCTCGATTCCCAAATCCAGGCCTTGTTTTCAGTTCTCTCAGGTAGTTAGTTAATTAATGATTCTGATTGGTCAGAGGCTTCACACCTGGCTCACAGGTGAAGGAAGGCTGGAAAATCACCAGGGCTCAGCCCTTGAGGACCGTGAGTTGAATAGCCCTGCTGTAGGAATATAGAACTTAATCATATAGACTGTACATCTATATGATTAACATCAAACACTCAGATTAATTTGAAAATTGCTCAGCACTATTTATTCTGCAGAAAAATCGAACACCTGAATCCCAGCCTCTGATTTGTTGATTTCAGCAGCCGGTCCATATTCTCGTTTCTCCTTGCAGGTGGAGGCTCTAGTGCTGGAGATGCAAGATCCCAAAAGTGGGGTTAAGTCCCAGACTCAGAGGCTGGTGATTACTACCATCCCACACGCCATCACTGGTAAGCCTCTAACGGCATATATTCCCTATGTACATACTGTATGTAATGATGTAACGTTACTCAAGAAATCAAAAGGAAAGACAAAGTAATTAAGGAAGGAAATTAAATAATTAATCTGTTGTTTTTTAGATCTGAGGATAATGCATTGTATTCCCTTCTGTTAGTTAATTTTTAATTTCTGCTTGTGGTAGATTATGCCAAAGAAGCCCCAGGCCAACAAACATATTCCTGGTAATTGGAGATTTAGATTTGATTAATGGGAATCCAGGCACAGCTCAGAGTACATGCCAGTGTGCAGTGGTTTGTCTTATACATGTGTTGATGTGTGCAAGAATTCATCGCCATGACAACCCCTGTGCAGCTGGCTGCAGCAACTGGCTCCTCTTGCCTGGAGTGGTCACTGAGAAAAGATCCGACTCACTGTGCATAAACTGCTCCGAGGGGTTTCAGCATTAGCGTCAGGAGCGTTAGCATCAGGGGACAGTCAAACAGAACATGAATATGGACACGACACATATATAAAAATATACAGCTATAAAAAGAGTTTGGTTTCTCAATGAATTGCTGCATTTCAGATCTCTTTGTAATCATGTCTAGATATGTCACTAGATCTGCGATGCATGCCAGCTGTCACACAAAGAGGGAGACGTGCAGTTAAGCCTCTAACATGGATTTGCGTGTCTTTATATGTTTCACAGCCTGAAAAAAAACATGCCCTGGCCTCTATTCTGCAGCATTTTCTTTGGAAGTCAGTCATAACCAGAAAATAGAAATGAAAAACTAGAAGTGATTGCTAATATACATATATTTGTTATATTAAAAAAGATATTTAAAAGGTTCCCTCTTCCAGTTATTAACTATGTTGTCATCAAAATTCTATACCCAATAAGGGTCATTCAACGTTTTTTCAACATCACGGCCTAGTTTATTATTCACAATGACAAGAATGCAAATCTGTGTATGTACATATATTCATTTATATATATACACACATAAACACACACACACACACACACGCACACACACACACAGTATGTGTGGATAGACTGGTTGGCAAAGCGCTTGATTTTTATTTTTTTTTGGTATACAAAGATCAAAGGGGGTCATTTGTGTTTTATTGCATGTCAGTCGTAATTTACTAGAAGATTGCTATCATCAGCATAAAGACATTGCTGTCCCTGATACTTTGTAAACGGGCACATTTCAGAAGCTGTCACCAGCATCCTCTCAAGGCTCGGTAATGATCCTGCACTTTGTTTCATCCTAACCATCGCTTTATCCTGACCTTTCTCAAGAAATGGAGGCCTTCTTTCTGTCTCGGAGGTTTCCTCTCAGAGATGTCGCTGATTTTTGTAGAGCTCAGCCGGGGCCCATGTCCTGGGAGCACAGTTTTCATTAGACCCTCGTTCTCAGCCATATACTTGCCAACTATGTCCTGCCTGGCAAGCGCTGTTTTATTATCCTCTTTTAACTGGCCGTTGTTTTAATTGATCAGGGGAAGACATTGTGGCATGGGTAGCCAACCGGTTCAACATCGACGCGCGAGGTATGAAATCGCATTGTTTTTACAAGATACTGTCGCTAAACTAATCTTCATTACAAATAAAGTATGTCCATTGATGATATTACTCTGTTACTAACACAAATAATAATTATAGCAGCACAGATGGTCGATATAATGATTACAGTTTTGGTATCAATTGAGGTAAAAGAGGTCGCTCGTTCAGTAAAATGTGAAAACCACATCCCTGTTTTTTGCCTACTTCCTTCCCCAGAGGCTCAGTCTATAGCAACACTGATGGTGGCATTTGGCTACATATACCCCCTGCAGGACCACAAGAGACTCATCATTAAAGCTGACACCTCGCTTTATCGCTTTCAGGTAGCTGCTGGAGCATCGTTATATCGCTATACCCAATAGCATGTAGCAGATACGGCCTATACCTTTTCCTCTTTCATTGTTAGCATGGAATTATCATTGAATGTAATGACACCGAAGGTGATATTTTGGAATATGGCAGTCTGGTGACACTAATATCATGATCCTGCTGTAGACGCCGTACTTTTGGCCTGCCCAGCAGTGGCCGGCAGAAGACACAGACTATGGTGGGTTTGCTTTGCTCTCTGGGTCCTTACGTATCTCTGGCTGAAAACGCGGCTGCATGACATGACGAGCGAGATCCCTATATGCTCATAATATATTTTTGATGCAGTTGGAACATGATACATGTAAAAAAAAATGTACTGTCCTTCCTCTCTATGTAAATTGTAAATGGCTATTTAAAAATACACTCATCATACATTAATCATATTTCTGAAACTAAGCAATATACTGTAATAGAAGATAATTTTTTTAAAATCAAAACCCACAGCATGCAGCTCATTTGATTATCTTAAATTATAGCTCACACCTACACAAAGACCTTTAAATAATTGTTATTCTTTATGACTTAGAGCGCACCTTCAGCACTGTGTGATTATTTTGTCCTGTTCCTCAAGACATATTGCCGCCTAACCATCTCAAACACATTTTTTATTTTTTTTTTAATAACCTTCCTGAAGCAATCTACTTAGCAAAGAGAAACATTCGCAAGAAAGGCGTACTGGAATTATATGAGCAGGTAAGGGTATGATTTTTAACTGCCAGCTGGAACCTAAAGGCATAGTTTTCGCCTTGGCTGTTTTTAGAGCTAAAGCTGTCCGTTTTCCTTGTCAGGAACACTATAACAACCTTCACAAATGGATGAACCATAAGTGGGATTTCATTGTGATGCAAGCAAAGGAGCAGTACAGGTCAGTTCTCTATGTAATATTATTTTGCCTTGCTGTCTCTGGCCAAGATGAAGTGGATACACAGGGGGGGGGGGGCTGGCACCTGGGAATGGACTCAGCGGGGTCTAATCTCTCTGAGGTTCTGTATGCAAAATTTGGTGCTTTGGTGGGTGGGTGTATTTACTTAAATAACAATGTGTGTGTTTTATTAACTCTCCCTTGTATGACCAGGGCAGGGAAGGAGAGGAAGAAGCCAGACCGTGTGGTGTTCGACTGTCAGGAGAGGGCCTACTGGGTGGTACATCGACCACCAGTAAGTAGGGATCTGATTTTATTTATTTATTTATTTACCTTTATTTTACCAGGAAGTCCCATTGAGATATAAAATCTCTTTTACAAGAGAGACCTGGCCAAGGTAGCAGCCATACGAAACATAAACATATACAGTACATGACAATAAAACATTAAACCGTAAAACAGAAGAACAATTGTTTTTGCACAGTGGCTTCTCAAGCAAAACATTGACATTCCTCAGTCACTGAACTATTTATGATGATCTTAAAATCCTTTAAAGATATTAGTGTTTGCAATTTAAGAACTTTTTGAAGGTTGTTCCATAACCATGGCGTGTAATGAGAAAATGCTGTTTTGCCAAGGTCTGTCAGGACCTGGGGGACATACAAAGGCAACCACTTGGAGGCACGCAAGTGGTAGCTATTGGAGCTGATGCAGAGTAGGGTACTGAGATATTCTGGGAGTTTACCCAGCAAAGCTTGATTGGTTGATAGCTGTGGTCTGTAAGTCAACTCTGTATGGTAGCCGATTTATCTATGGCAGACTTATCAGCATGTAAAAGGGCTCTGCTGGAACAGGACTGGGACAGATGCTTGAAAGGTTCACTCAAAAGACATGGTACTATTTTCTGAGGGTCTATGGACACCAGCTATTTAACAGACAGTGCTCGCAAATGCCATGATAACACGGGGGTGGGGGGGGGGTCATCTATGGTTTGGTTTATTGTTTTTTTTTAATTTAATGTGGTAAGGAAATCTCTTGGGAATTGGGTTAACCATAGTTCATGAAAGGAATGCAACCAGAGTATAAACCTTCTGAATAGCGAGGCACAAGCCAAGGAGGATGGATGAGGTGATCTTTTGGCATGTCCACGGTGATGTAGGCATGAGCCAAGCTTGTGGTCGGAGTGCTGGGTTGGTCCACTTATGGCCATGATTTCTTGTCTTTAAATTAATACTGAAGTAACTATTTGGTTGAACAGCATCCAGACCTGTTAGAATCTTATATACCTGGATCATGTCCCCCCTTAGTCTTAGTCTTAGAACAGATTCATCTCAGCTAACCTCTCCTCATAAGACATTCCTCTAAGACCAGGAATCATTCTTGTAGCCCTACGTTGAACCCTTTCCAAGGCAGCAATGTCCTTGTTAAGGTATGGTGACCAAACCTGCACACAATATTCTAGGTAGGGTCTTACCAAGGAATTATGTAATCGTAGCATCACCTCCCTTGACTTAAACTCCACGCACCTAGAGATATAACCCAACATCCTATTGGCCTTTTTAATTGCTTCCCCACACTGGCGAGAGTGGGACATGGAAGCATCAACATACACACCGAGGTCTTTCTCATAATCGGCTTCCTTTATTTCAATGGAACCCATAAAGCACTTGCGCTTTATATTTCTGTTCCCTGCATGGATTATCTTGCATCTAACCAATCCATGCCAACTGGGCCATTGCTTCTGGACCCGTCCCAACACACCTACAGTAAACTCACTTTATATCCATGGATCCTTCAACTTCACCCCTCTCCCAAAACATCTACGCCAGGGTTCCCCAGTTCCAGTTCTGGAGGGTCAGTCTGCAACACAGTTTGCAGATATTCCTGCTCAACTGGGTAATCTTGATCTACACCATCCAAATGGGATAAATTCAATTATATTGCTTAAACGGAAAACATTCTCAAATGTTAGAGCGCAAACTATTATTAATACGCACTTAAATGACAGTTTTGCCTTCATGAACTGTGACCTAACTGTGTAAGTGAAAGAGGCTCTTAATTGAAGTTTTAAGTTATATGAACACGTGACAAATGAATAGTGTCATACTTGATTTTTTACGTCAATAAAAACAAGTTATTTTGTTTTTTTCCCAGTTTTTTTAACCTGAAAAGCAGGAGGTCTGTCTGATACAGTCTTTGAGTCTGCAGTGCCAAAAATATAATTTTCATTAAATTGAACATTGACCTGGAAACAGGGAATTCAAATACAGAAAGACAGACCAATGCTCATCTCGGAACCTAGGATAAATACGTTTGATTTTTAAATTTTCAAAATATGACTTCAGTTAATGGTTGTTTATTGTGCACAATTATCCTTTAAATAAATCATACTGACTAAATTAGGTTGAATTTTAGATTAAAAATCAGTGCATAACTGTTGCATATGATTAATTGGCTTGAATAGTGCTGTTCACAATAACAGTAACAGTATGTGTAAATTTATAGTTGAATAGATGTGAAATCCTCAGGTGAATTTCTATGGGGCCTAATTACTGTCACTTCTGAAAGAAAGTATGGATTTAACCTTTTAAATATTTCAGTAGTTGCTGTGGCTTGGCGGGATAGAATGGATTAATGAATCAGGTAAAAATGTATACAGTTTTCAGTGTGAAATACAATAATTCCTAAACCAGTTCACTATTTACAGTTTTCACTGAACAACTCAATGCGCTTGCTCTGCTTCTTACAATATTCCTTTTCGTTATGTATATAATTGTACCTCATAAAATGTTATTTTTCTTGTATGCTTTTGTGCTATTGATCTCTAGGGAGCCAGTTTGTTTAGTTTCTAAATGTCAGCCAGCAGACAGAGAATCCAGGCTCTGACGGCCATTTTCGTTTGACTCGGGTAATTTGTTCAGATGAAGAAAAAGTCGGTGTCCAGGTCATTGTTACAACCCTGTCTGATTCTGAATGCCAGGGCCTGAGATACGTCGGAGATTCAGACCACTGGATGAGTACTGGAGAATGCTTATTTGCTCTAATTTATAATAAGATACCATAAGTGAGGATGAGGCAAACCTCCCTGACAAACAGCACAGACCCAGGCATGAAAATCCCTTTCAGGCTAATGTTGACTCATGCTTATTTGCAGCCTGGCACCATCAGCGCGATGGACTATGGCCTAGAACGTCTCACTGACCCCAATGCTGATGAGGTAAAGAAGGTGAGTCTCTCAGGCACTTTGGCCTCACTCCTTACAGGTGTGAGCAGGGGTCATCGTCCATTATGCAATCAGGAGGTTCAATAACTGGAAATGAGCTTTGTCAGTGCTGTTTTGTGTCTGACTACCTCGCTGGCATGGGAACCTCCCTCTTTAGCTTCTGGTTTTTTTTTCCTCACCAAGTAAAGCAGTATTAATGCACACAGTGGATTCTTGCTTTTGCAATTATGAATAGTCAAAATAACCATACGTTTATAGGTTCGTCTTACAGAATCTTTCAATGCAAAGCCAAATAGATTGACAGCCCAGGTGTTAAACTGGATGAGTTGAGTTTCACGGTTCGAGCTGTAGGTTGAATCAGTTGATTGCGACAGAAAGTTCTAGAGGTTTTTTTTTTCCTCACACAGAATTTCAGTTGGTCTACCAGCTTAACTGTCCTGTCGGCGTGGGGTGGGGGGACATTTTTGTGCTAGTACAATCAAACAGAGAATTAAACATTACCGGACATACTCCCAAATTATAGTTTTTGTATTTAAATTTAATAATACTGTTGAAAGTGGGAGGTACAGTTCTGTTTTGGCGTGTTTTTCTGTACAACCAGATGTGGGAGATTTACTGGCAGGTCAGCATGTTATTACTGCCTGGAGGTCATGAACGTACCCTTTCTTTCCAGGGCACTGGTTCTGCCAATCTGTTTAAGCCTATTAAGAGGATTTCATACCTGATAGTCTGTCTTGAATTACAGCCCCGGTACTATGCTGGCGAGTATGAATAGCTGCTTCACTGTGACGAATAGATACAGTTACCAATATCAGTCAGGTAGCCAGCTGTTCCACTCCAGTGAGCTTGTTGTGAAGTTTATATTGTGTAACAATGTAACACCACTAATGCACTGGAAAAATTGCCCTTGAGTTCCATGGACCTCAACACCCTTAAGCAAAACACCCTAAAATTAAACTTTTTAGGTCAAGTGGGTATATGGATATTGGATAAAGGCAAATATCATTTTATGGTCAAATTTTGGCCATCCAGAAATCTGTGAAAAAAAAACTGTTGTCTGCAGTTCCATGTTGCATGGTTTTCTTCATAAACTTGCGATCATGCAATTTCGTCTGCTGTTGTGGACTCAGAGTGTCAACACAGACATCATTGACACTGTCATGCAAAACATTCAACATGCAAGCCATTGTCCTGCCTTTATTACAAGTGAATCTATGAAAAAATACCCAACAAGGAACTAATGTTGTATGCACGGCGTACTCTGCTTATAATTCCAGAGGCTCAGAGTGGATGGAGGGATTAAAAACCTCATAAATTCCCTAAGTAGTGATTCAGTACTGATGTACTAGGAATATACTGTCGGCAGCATTGCTAAATTAGGATTGCAGATGTGCTCGTGTTGTTACAGGAGTTGCATATGTGGACGTCTGCATCTCGTTCACATACCATTTTCTTTCTTTCCTTTTCTTTCCATGCAGATTTTGTTCCTTTTCTCTGTGCACTTCAGCGCTTCATCAGTAATGGTGGAGGCACACAATATGAATACACACATTAATTGACAGAAGAGCTTCTTTGACGGTCTGTGTAGCGTGTATTAGTCCATGGATGAGAAAGATTAAAAAATGTGAGATGCCAGAAACAAGGGCTGTGTAGTTTTATTGGGCCTCTTGCTCAAAGAAACAAAAGGCCTTCATGACAAGGGTCTACGTACATTATACTGAAACGCTGCATTGTATAACTCATTAGGTATGTGTCTTCAGCCTTCTATAGCATCAGTTTTTCTTTAATAAAATTAATTAGTCTCCAGACTCTCCTTAGTACAGCACTGTTAATAAAGACATTGTATTGTATTTAGTATAATTAGCACCTTAATTTTGTTGTAGGATTACATTTGCTTGGGGATTGTTCGTAATGTTTTTTGTATTGGTTCACAGAAAAAGACAATGGACTACTACAGAAGAATTGTAAGTAAATCTTTATTTGAAATATGTTTTTATCTTTTCACATTGGCAGGATTGCTGTGGAATTCAGGACAACAGAAACTGCTTGTTTGGTCCGTAACTGGGGGCTCAGATTACTGATAGCTATTTGTTATGGGCTGGGAGAGATATTCAGGGCAATATTAATGTTTTAAGTTAAGCAGTGTTAGCCTCATTTATATTGAGCTAGACTCCTAAAATCGTCTGACTGTTCTCTTCTTTTCTGCAGGTTATTTTCACTCAACAATGCATCATGCGGTCAAGGGTCAAGTCATCGGTGTCTCTCGGAGCGTATGTCCACTTAAAACACCAATGGGATTCGGTGTGACTGTGTGGTCAATGTTAACCAGGAATACTCAGTCTATCTGAATTTATTTATGCTAGAATACCACTAGTTGTAAATATACTTTGAAACCCATAGCATGATGTACTTTTTAATTCTACTTTATAATTAGTTCTTGGGTGGCAGTTCAGCTCATGTCTCTGTCCTTGTGCCCCTGCAGGATTGTAAAATACATCACAACATGTAAAAACCATGACCCCTTCCTGGCAATGTGCCTCCCCAGTAACCCGTGGTTGACCGATGACACCACATACTGGGAACTCAACATGCCCAAGTAAGACTTGATTTCCTGAAGGCTGCAAGCTTCAGGATCAGTAATACCTTGGTACAGTAATACGTGTGCAATATACCCTTTATCTACACTGTTGATAGCTGCTATTTATTACGTTAACAAGTTTTTTGCAATTTTTTATATTATGGGAAATTTCAGGTGCTTTAATTTTTTTCCTCAATGGCAAAAAAAATACATCACAAACAAAAATCACTTAAATTGTTTGTAGGTGTCTACCATTGCTAATTTTTTTTCCTTGTTGAGGCTGTCCATTCACCTGTTCATACGGGCTCTGCTTCCCCTCTTTCTGATTGGTTTATTTGTTGCTCTGCGCGACCCCGTGTGTGCGTGCCGGTTCGTCTCACAGCGTGGAGATTCCCACGAAGATGAGAGTAGAGCGCTGGACGTTTGGCTTCCGGGAGCTGCTCAGTGATCCTCGGGGGCGGGCCGATTTCCGCCTCTTTCTGAAGAAGGAGTTCAGCGGTGGGTTTTCGACTCGGAAAGCGGCCCACGTGTGCCTGTGTGGCAGTTTCGGTGGCGCTGTACGGTGCAGCCTATGGAATGAAGTTTTATGGCCAGTGTTTTTTTTTTGGTGAAACCAAGGTGAAAACCTGGCATTCTGGGAAACGTGTGAGGACCTGAAGTGGGGAGCCGCGGCGACAATGAAGGACAAAGCCCAGCAGATATACAAGTGAGCATCTCCATATTACAGTATATGCAGCCAGATGGATGAGGATATAGACTAAACCTGCAGGTGGTCTTGTTCTTGTACCATTAGACAAGGTGCTTTGTTTCAATAAATTATACAGCTGTGGAAAAAAAATAAGAGACCATTCTATATTTTTAAACAAATCTGCATTTTTAAAATCCTGGTTTAATCCTGGCAGAAGGCCATGCTGAGTGGTCGGGCTGCTTACAGGCTCAAAGTTTCTAAGACAGCAGCACACAAGAATAAGGTGAAGCAGGAGACATTGGGAACGACCAGAAACCAGCCAGGTAGAGGGCAGAGACGACTTTCTAATGCCAGAGATGACCGCAAAATTATCTGATCGTTTCTTTTGAATCATAGGATGAAATCAAAAGACCTTCAGGAAAAGGAATGGGAAACATTAAGTGCAGGTGTGAAGTGCACTGCTAGGACAGTTCATATCAGGTTCCTGAAAGCAGGACTGAAGTCCCATAAAGCAAGGAAGAAGCCCTTCATTAATGAGAAGCAGGGAAGAACCAGGCCGCAGTTTGCAAAAAAAAAAAATATGTGTGTATATATACATATTGCGGTAGAACATTTTAAACTGAATTTGAGAAGACACTTCTTTACACAGCGTGTAGTTAGAGTGTGGAATAGTCTTCCTACTAGTGTAGTGCAGGCTAAAACGCTGCGTTCCTTTAAATTAGAGATAGATAAAATTATAACAACTCTAAGCTGTTAGTTTTTATTAGTATTATAAAACTCCTTGGTGTTTTCTTTCTTTTATTTGTTTGGCCTGAATAGCTCTTATGTTGGCTCTTTGTACAGCACTTTGTGCAGTGCTTGTTGTGTTAAAGTGCTCTATAAATAAAGTGGTATGGTATGGTATTAGTTAAGTTCTCCCCAAACGAGCTTGATGGGCCGAATGGCCTCCTCTCGTTTGCAAATTTCTTATGTTCTTATGGTCCTACATTATTCACAGACACACACCCATACATTGAGAAATGAGTGAAACAAACAATTCTGCTGTGGACTCCTAATTTTTTCCACGGCTGTGTTAGAATAAAAGGATAAAGTGGCTGCATTCTGGATAAAGCTGCAGGCAAAATAGAATAAATAATGCAGGCAATGTTGCTTAGAAAGAACAGAATGTAATGGAATACAATAGAATATATTTTTATTGTCCATCCAAGGCTGGGGATTTGCCTTTGGCCTGGCAGTGTAAAGTATGAAGGATAAAAATGAAGTTTACTGACAGACAGAGAAGACAGCTAGATAGATAGATAGATAGATAGATAGATAGATAGATAGATAAAAAGTTAAAGTAATATCACATCATTGCAGTGTGTTTATAAGCTTTATTTATAGCATTCATGTTAGATTACTGTGTCAGTGAGCAGGCTGTTCTGCTCATTCAGAAGCACAGTTGAATGCTGTGTTGTGACACCCCCCCCGCATCTGTGCCGTGTATGAATGCAGAACTTTCCTGGCCCCCGGAGCGCCGCGCTGGATCAACATCGATGGCAAGACCATGGATATCACTGTGAAGGGGCTGGTCCACCCGCATCGCTACGTGCTGGACGCTGCCCAGACCCACATCTACATGCTCATGAAGAAGGTCCGGCCTCGGGGCCGCGCGCTTGTCTACCTCACCATCGTTACTGCCGGGGATAGCCGTGTTTTTACAGTTCTGTTTCCATGACAGGACTCTTTCGGACGCTACATGAAGTCTACGGTATTCAAGGAAACACAGAAAAAGGCGATTTCTCCTGAGGAACACAAATTCAGGTGAGGAATACTGCAAACACTAAGTGGCAATACATGAAGTGTGCAGTGTCCTCCTGTACTATCCTGTGTTAAGGTGCAGTGCTGTCCTGTGTTGCTGTGCTTTGCATTGTTACTATACAGTACTGTCCTGTCATGTGAGTTACTGTATAGTATTGTTGTAAAATGTGTTTTATCCTGCGTGTGGTATTCTGTGTTACAATGCAGTACTGTCCTCAGCCACTGTGCAGTGCTGCCCTGTGTTGTGCACCAGCACAGAGCGTTCACTGTCCTGCATGGTGCTATGGGCTGCAGGCCCATCCTGCCACAGTGTGCATTAATGTGTGGTCCTCCTGCTCCCGTCCTGGACTCTGTGCTGCAGCGACGCACAGCTGGAGCAGAATGCCAAAAAGCGCAAGCCCAACCTCAGCCCCATTGTGCTGCGGCAGCGGGAGGAAGAGGAGAAGGCGCGGCTGGCCGCCAGCGGGCCCATGGACATCACGCAGGTCATGAGCAAGCTGGACAAACGCAACATGCTGAAGGAGGGGCAGAAAAAGGCAGAGCCATGACAGCAGAGAGGGGATAGCAAGTGGAAGGCTGTGAAAAATACTGTTTACTTTCTCAGGATTTATTTCACCTGCTCTTATGGGCATATATGAAATAAACTACGAAACTTATTTATTATATCAATTTCGGAAGTAAAATTATAATATATTTTTGATATTCATTATTTAAACTATAATACTGCATGTTATGGGATTATTTTCTAAGCCTAAACTTGCTATGACTCTATCACGTTGTTTTATGTTAACTGTGTGAAATAACTAGGCTGTTTTCGTGCTTTTTTTTTCTTCTTATACAGTACCGTAAAATCATTGTTCATTACATTAGGCGCTTCACCACCGCAGGAACCTTTTTCAGGAACCAGGAATATCTGTCGCGTTCCCACCACAGGAACTCGGCCGATTGTAGTTCCTCGGAGGTGGTTCCTGAACCTCAGTCCCTACTCTGGAGTAGGTTGTTACCGCTTCGCCAAAAGTATACTGGGTGCGGCTAATATAAACTTTGCTGATTGGTTGACCGCTAACTTACGTGGAAGTGCGGGGAAAGTAATAGAGCAAAACTTGAGCAGTGGAATTATTTCTGTACCTAAAAAAGAATACTTTCCCCTTGTGTCACTATCATATTTCTGCATCGGAAAATTCGATCTATAAGTGACATACTTCTGTCTAATGTCGTTGGTGTTAAGTTGAACCTACGTTCCTGTTGTGCGGAGGGAAAGCGCCAATTAGCTTTTTTTTTACCGGCCCTGTGCTGCCAGATAGGCTTACTCGTGCTGAATGAATTCTTGGTTGACATGTGATGGAGTTATTTGAGGCGTAAATAAGATAGTGAGTTCAGAAGAGCAACATTTAATACATTCAACTGACATATATTTTTAACGCCCACACATTATTGTTTTACACAAAAGTATCAACCTCTTACAATTAAGCTCAACCCAATGAACACAGTCATCGTCATAACTGACTCATTCCACGTAATCAGTAGTTTTTATTTGTCATTCATTTCAGCTTTGCTGTGTCTTTCTCTGTCTCATAGTGATTCCTCATTGGCATGGAATACATATCTGTGTAATTTTCGGCTGATCATATCATGTTATTTTCACTGGATTTCAGCCATCCTTGTCCTTTTGCTGAACTGTGTGTTGTATATGAAAAACTGATATCACCTCATTGTCATCACTGCTTCATTGTGCTTTGTTGCTGGATTATTTTTGCTCACGGATGTTTACATAACGTTTAATTAAATAAAGTCCTCACATTAATCATTATCATTTCCTGTGTGTCTCCATGTGTATTTCCTGTTTGTAATCTCTGAATCGTACATACACACACACACGGGTTTGTAATAATATCTTTGTGGGGACCCTCCATTCATTTCTATGGGAAACTCTAATCCCAACATAACAACCATAACCCCTACTCCGCCCCAACCTTAACCATAAGTAACCAAATAAAATACGACACTTTTGGCATTTTTACTTTTTTGATTGCATTTACGGATCTTTCATCTTTACGGATCCATTTCAGGTCCCCACAACGTCAAAAACACATATTTTTATTACATTGTGGAGAACATTTGTAACATATATGCAATATAAACATAATACACACGCATATTTCACACACGAGTTTGCATAGAATAGAATACAGCCACAATTCAAACTTGCCATTTCGCTACAGGACTTAGCGTCATTATCTTTATTTGTTTTTATTTGCTTTTCTAAAACAGTGTTTTAGATAATAGATAATAGTGCTTCTTAAGTACAGTATGTTTGTGTTTCAGTGTGGATGAACGTCCTTCCGGGAGTGGTTAGGGCATGCTGACCAGGACGCTTAACTTAAACGTGGAAAAAAACTTAACGTGGCTTAATGTCCCAAAACAACTTTTTTTCTCACATTTCACTGGTAATAAGTACATTCTATTGCCAAATGCACGAAACTGTAATCTAAATACACTTATAAAATCCACGTTAAGCAAGGCTGTAGGTGAAAGGTTTCCAAGCGGCCCCTGCTGACGTGCGTGCTCTGCCTCCGCTTCCCATGCAGCTGTGTAAATTCACTGCGCCGGTGCCCCACCTAGCGGTCTACACGGGCATCTGCGAGGCTCAGCTGTCTCACGGCCGGGAGCGACAGCCTCCTTCGCCGGGCTTCCCAACCCTTCCCAACAGCGCCGCCTGCCCCTCGCCCATCAGCGTCGCCATCGACAGCACACCCGCATCCGAAAGGAAGTTTGAGGGCCAGGGAGGTTCCGCCGCCGCCCAGTTCCCATCCATCGCCGAGGTCCCGTTAGAGACCAGAGTCAGCGCGTCGGCGAGGGGTCCCGATGAGTCGCAGCTAGCCAGCCAGAAGTCCCGTGTGGCGCTGTCCCTCAGCCGGTTCCTGAGACGCGGCTGCGGCAATGCCTCTGTGCTGGCAAGCCTTTCGCCCAAGTGTCACTCAGCAATGGGCGGGCGAGTTCAGCCGCTGAGCCGGGAGCCGCTCTCTCAGCCGCAGCCCAAGAGGATTGCCAAGTGAGTGCCCGGTCTGCCCCTAACTCCAGAATTTAGAATTAGAATTTAACTCTCTGTCAACAGAATTACAATAGAACTCTCTGTGATCATTACTAAATCAATGTAGTAGATTCAGTTTTAGCCCTAAAATCACGTGCTGCGGCATTTTACTAATTACTTTACTAAGTAGTACCTTTATGTAAAGTATCAACTAGAGATTTAAATTTAAAAGTTTTACACTGGATGTTTACAATGAAATGACGCTGCTGAGCAAAAGAGATCTTTCACACACACTGAGCTTTTATTCGTGGCTGAAACTTTTCAGCTACAGCTCCTGTTCAGCAAGATTCAGTTAATGTTAGGAATTTACAGATCTTTACAGAAGCAAAAATAGAAGAAACAAAAAAACTACATATCAGATTGCCGTGCAAAATAATAACCAAGTAACCAAATATTACACACGTATGTATCGCCGAAAACTGCGCTCTTCCCAGCTTTTTCCAGATAAAAGTGGATATCCCGCCGGAGTGCCGGATCTACCCCATCGACTCAGAGGATGAAGAAAATGAATGTACAAGCAGGGTAAGAGGCACCGTGAAAGAGATCATCTGTCCATGGGAGTCCATCACCAAGCAAGACCAGGCAGGATGAGCTCAAAAAACAACCAGGAGAGGGCAGTATAGGGTAAGGAAAAGCTTTGCGTTAGAGCCTCGTGATGAGTACAATACTCTCCCTCTTCAATGATATATAAGATTGTGACAAAAACTGTTCGAGTGTTTTTCAAACTTTCTACATTATTTTTATTAACAATTATGGAGACATCATGTCTTTATAATTACACTATAATCTTTATAGTACAAAGTAGTGCCTATCAAATTAAATGTTACACACAACTAGGGGAAGGAATGACTCATTTAAGAATTATGGTTGAAGTTTGTTCAATGTTTCTTACCTAGTAAATACCACATGTTACAAATAATAGCGTAACTTAACACCCAAAATTCACATGGTTATTCTTGCTAGTATATATTGCAACTGAGAATTTTGTATCCAACTGTTTTATATGATTAAATGATGTAGATCCCCGTCTGACTAGATAACAAAAGTAATATTTTTAATAATTGTACCGTGACAGTTATTACCAAAAGATAAACAGCAGATCCTGTCAAAATGTACTATGTTTAAGTGTTAACCGACTGAAGAATGTGAACTGAATATAATTTTGTGTAAACAATTGTGCATTCTTCATCTTCGGTTTGTGCAAGTGCCTCAATAAATATTGAAAATTATGTTGTGTGACAATGTACTCTTATTGTATTCTTTGATACATTTTGGCTTACATATTTGCAAGGGTGGGAAGCTTATTAATCAGAATCCCTTTCTTTCAATGCCACTAGAATCAAACTTCATATTGAAATTCTGCTTCAAGCTTAAAAAAACTTAAAAACTTAAAAAAACTCAGAAAAAGTAGGTAAAGATTCAGAAGACAGTGCGAATAACTTTGTTAGCCATTGGAAAGAAGTTTGCAGCTACACAAAGGAGCCGACAGCATATGGTCCTTTAATTCCCTTCAGAAATTAGTGTTACTATGGTAACCGCTTGAGGCTGCCACATTTCAGTCGTTAAACTCGATTATCCTCCCATTAATAAATTGCTCAAATATGGCCTTTGGTGACCTCAAAATTACCTGCAAACAAGGAATACGATATTATGAGGATGGACAAAACAATGAAACACTGCATGAAAACGGAATTTGCAGTGACTAAATCGCGATCACACAGTGACAGTGGTGATTCATATTAGGCTGGGTGCAAACTAGCAGTATGTATCAGCTGTAAAGGATGTCTGATAATCTGCACTTTTTGAAGGAATATGAGGTGACTAGTTTCAAAACAGCCAATGACCGATTTGGAGGTGCATGGGTAATAAAAATTGCAATATGATGTCCCATGTGAAGGAGAACAGTATGGAAATCATGTCATCATATATGAAACATGGACAGACTGCATTGGCAACTAGAAACAAAGGCTGTAGATCGATGTTTACCAAGTTGAGAGTGATAGATGATCATTTAACAGAACAGTTGTTAAGCACAACAAAATTATGGCCTCAAAAATGACTACAGAGCTGAAAACTGAACTAGGACCCTGTCTCAACAAAACAATTCAAGTCAGACTTTATGGCAGAGCTGACATTCGGAAACTGCTTGCATCCAAGGCCAATGTGCAAAGATGCATCAGTGGTGGAACAAGTATGACCTGATGAGTCATGATTCACCCTTATTTTCTACACATGGATGTTTTCACATTTGGAGAGTTGCTCTCATTCCTCTGTTGTTATGTGAAGCGATCCTATGTTTATGGTAGACATAAGGTGTGATGATTACTTTGCATGGCCAAGGAGTGTGATCAGGTGAAGTAAACACTATATCCTCATGATATTCCCATATTCCAAGACATAAACATCAAACACATTTATTATCTATGCCAGGGCTCTTCAAATCTAGACCTCGATTCCAAATCCAGGCCTTGTTTTCAGTTCTCCCAAGTAGTTTGTTTAATGATGACTGATTCTGATTGGCCAGAGGCTTCACACCTGGCTCACAGGTAAAGGAAGGCTGGAAAATCAGCAATGGAACTTGAGGACCATGATTTGAATAGCCCTGGCCTATCTAAACACCAGACCTAAACATCTTCAAAGCTTTTTGCAGGGTATGAAAGTAGATTGTCTCATATCTCAAAGAACTGAAGGCTTTTCTTCTGTAAGAATGGTCCAATATAACTATACACAGTTCAGGGCTTGCATGACAGTATTCTGTGAAGGATTGAAGCTTTTTTGAAGGCAAAGGGTGCCCTACTCCTTGTCAGGCCCCCGATATCAATACGCAGTTATGTCTTATTGTGTCATTTTGTCCACCCCCTGTGTAATTTATTGATAGAGTTAATATACTTTCCATAATGACTTTAGGCCTTTAGTTTGAACTCATTACAGTCTAACAAAGCAATGCCATCTCAATGTAATACTCAAGGTGTTTTAGTATTGGGCGCCCAGTGCTCTGGTGCAACTTCCATGAAATATTAGTCTGTCCACTGGCCAACTCCTCTGTGTGTAAGATTGCTGTTTCAGCTGGGTTAGGGTGGCTGTTAGGCTTAGGGTTAGAGTTGGGATTAGGGTTTACACTGCATCCAAAAAAGCCCTATACATTTTCCTTTATGCAACTTTGCCAAAACATTTGACATAGGAGAATAGTGACGTCCAGTGTATGGGTAACTGAGGCCATTGGGTTCCACTCATACAGAACATAAGACACAGTAGATATTTAGTAGAGATGCACTGATCTGATATTTGACACAGACACTGATCCAGACCTATTAGACGGATCGGGTATTGCCATATGTGACCGATCCACACCTGACACTTACTTATTTCGTTTTCGGCAGTCTGTAAAAAGCTAGCTCATATTTCTTGTTAAATTGATCTGTACAATCAATCGCATGGCAGACTAGGAAGGGGCAGGTGACATGGAGGTCGAGATCAGCTGAGGTAGCGACATTAGTGCCTCTCTGAAAGGCTCCTAGGTCACCGGCAGTACAGATAGGAAGTGACTGACCCCTCTTGGCTATTGGCCTCTGAATTGTCTTTCAATAGAGAGAGAGAACCACAGGCAGGCTGCCTCCGGATCACCCTCTGCCTCATCCTACCATGACGTGGGTTCTGAGTCGTGCCGGGGGAAGCTCTCCCTCCCCCTCTAAGGAGTGATTAGTGGCAGCCTGCCAT